TCTTTGGCACTCTGGCTTGTATTTGAGATGGTGGTTGGAGTGAGTGCATGTCATTTGAGTAAGAAAGTGAATTTGTGCCAGCTCAGGCTACTTACTGTCTCATAAAAGGAAATACTTAGAGGAGGAATTGATTATGGTCATATTTCACAATTGGGAAAATACAGTGTGTCGGAGTTAGATGAACAACAAATAATGCCGTATTTTTGTTCCGAAGATTTCGAAACAAAAACTATGTATCAAGTGATTTTTTTTTATCCATCTATAAGAATTACGGTTTAGATTTTTCATCGGCATAAAACGAGTTTATTTCCTGTACTTGTTCAATTAGCAATGGATGTGACTTTATGATTGTATAATGTATTCTCATTGATATACTGTCAATACTCCTAAATAGAAAAGCAAGAGAACGTCATTTTGAATGACTTCTTAAAGCTGCTAACTTAATGAATGTAATCTTCATAACAGCCTTCTGTGTACCTCGCTCCCTAACTTTGCTTTAGTTCATTATCCATGCTGAGCACAAATCATGATTGATCATTAAAGCGCTGGGAGCTTGAATCAATTTTTTGCAGATTTGGTTTCTTTTTGAAGCTCCAGGGGAAGTGGGGCCAGCAGCAAGTTGGGCTGTTTGTCAGCCTTCAGGTCTATCACAGTGCACCTGACCTCGCCATCAAAGAGGGAAGCATCACCCTCTGCGTCCTGCTCTCAGTGTCGAAGGCCTCCACCGTATTTCTCAGATTTGGCTTCTCGGAATTGCCTCTACCTAACACGACCTCTTGGCCGCGATACAAAGATTGCATTTTCAGGGCCGGCAGCAGATAATCAGTAATCTCAAGTCGCAGCATCTCTGCCAAGTCCACAATCTTTTCCATCTTCATATTACACTCTCTAGTGAATCTCCTGTTTTCAGTCTAATTCTTCTCCCGTCTAATTGCCTCTGTGGTTGCAGGAATATCTTTACGTTTATTTCCCGTCTATCAGTTGGGGACTTGGAGCTTAATCACAGTGGAATGGAGCATCAGCTAAATGCCCAAAATGTAAAATGTCAGAGTGAATTTCCAGAGCGAGGGGTGAGGAGGGTTGAAGCAGTTTTTCACAAAGTCCCAGTGGATTGGGAAGTGGGTCGGGTATTTAGACATTTTGCAAGGGGAGGCATTGCTAAATGTCCACAGCTAAAGTAGGTCGTGGTTAACCTTGAAACATCTCACATATAACTAGAAGAGAGATGCAGAAAATGATAAATAAACATGCATTATTGAAGGTATTGTATTGACTGTATTGTGCGCTAGTATTCATCTTGATGAAGGTCTGACAAAGCATTCCTTTATAAATGAAACATTACAATAACTCTGGTTTATTGCAGGACTTTCTCAGAATGTGCGTCACAGTGACGCATTTCTTACATATGAAGTTTAAATAGATATTTTTCTTTACCCATTTCCCCCACATGAGCAATCAGCCATTATTAAATATATGTTACAAACACCGTCTCCTAGAAAACCACAACCTCGCTTTACGCACTTTGGCTATAGTCGCCCAACGCTGTGTTTCTTTCTCGATCGTTCTCTCCAACAAACGTTATTAGGACAAACAATGTGGCCTGTTCTTCTCATGTTTGACATTTCCAAGCGTGAAATGTCTCCCAAGACAAAGAGCCTTCTCTCTTTATTGCCTGGATATGTGCCTGTGGGTGGAAGCCCTATTGTATGTCCTTGCACAATTGCTCGTGTAGGCTCTGCACTCACTGACTTTATCCGCTTTAGTGAACTCTGAGCTTGCGACTGAGTCAGAAGATTGATTTCTCCGCTTTATATCCTTCATATCCGCCATACTGCCCACCTTTGGCACACTGCGCTATAGGCAACCAGCCTGTATTGTCACCTCAATTCAGCGCCGTGATTGATTTGAGCTCTTAACGGCTGTATTTACACCACAGCGCTGTATTTGCAGTTCACATGGCTCGCAGCTCTTTGACACACAGTGTAATATCTGAATGGAGGCGTTATCAATGGAGCTGCTGAGGTGTTGCGGCTTGCCTTGGCCGAATAGAACAAAGACGTCAGGCTTTAGTCATGCTTTTTGTATTTGAGCAATTTTCAGGAAAGCATTAGGCAACAACAAAATGTAAGAATACAATTAAAATCCTATAGAAAGAGCATTGTGGGATTAAACAAAGCAACAGTTCCCAGCTTCTCAAATGTGTGATATTTCATGCTTCATGTGATTGACTTGTTTTTGTTTCAAAAATGTTGGCCAATTGGATTGTGGGAAAATATGCTAGAAATGTCCTCAAATATTGTTGACATAGTAAAACGATGAATAGACTTTTGGACAAAATAATCTGCAGATTAATTCCCAAAAGTAATCATAAATTGCAACCCTATTCGAAACAATTGCTTGTATTATATTATAAACCAAACCTTTTCTAGTGACCTTCAAGGAACTAAAGGCTCTAAATAAGTCAACAAATGAAATCTTATAACCTCTTTTGATTCTTTATTATGGTTTTATTTATCGAACTCCAGTTCTCTAGCAACACAACGGTGTGGTATCTGTTTCATTTGGGTACTGCAAACTCATTATTTTGAGTTGGATGTAATGAAGTTCACGCAGGAACTTCCTGTTGCATGCATTGTAAATCCCTCCAGTCAAATGGGAATGCGCATGCAGAGCACCTGAACGCATCGTTCCGCGGGGATCAGCGCCAGCATGGCTGATGTTGTTACACCAGAAGTGGCTAATGAGCTAACCTTCCGCTTTACCTCCGCATACCTCTCTGTAATTATCGCCTTCAGCTCCCACGAGAGCCAGTGAAAGGGAGCGGCGCTTTCATCCCCATCCAGCAGGAACAGAAACAATAGAGAAACCAGGCGCCATACAATGGACACTTAAACTGCCCGATGGAGTGGATGCATTTACTAAACAGCTGCTTATTTTGAGTCAACGGATACATCATGTCGTAGCATTATAACACAGCTTAGAAAATAAACTATCCGCACTGTTTGGGATATTCAAAGCACTCGATTTAAATACGGTAGGTATTGTTTGCTTTATTTTCTTATGTTTCCTGCAGCCATTTAATGGTTCCGATTGGAGCAGCTACCTTTGTTACCAACTTCTCCTCATCTTATCTCTACTTCAGGTTTCAGTGTCTAGCTCAAGGGCATTTTAGCTGCAGCTTATGGTGAGAAAACGAGTTAACTTTCCATTTCTTTAGTTTGTTTTTGCAAAGCCTAAGCAGCAATCTAACTCAGATTCATTGTTTACCTTCATTTGGTGCCGTCAGTCGTAGAGAAACTTTTTGATTGAACAGTCCAAGGCTTCCAGTCCATAACTCTTCAACATGCTTTGATTAACTTCAAAGTCTCTCCCTTTAATTGATCAAAATGACGGATGGCCTTCAGATTTTTCAGTCTGTTAAAAGACTTGAGTCAATGACGGGAACATTTCAGTTCTGCCTGTTTCTGTGAAATAATTTGGGACTTCATGTGGAATGTATTTTACGAGTAAAATGCTGCAAAGAGGCAGAGTGACCTCACCTGCCAGTGAAGTGGCCGCTCTCCTCCAGCTGCAGCTGTTATTGAAAAGAGACCTGCAGCGCTTCCATGACCCTGGATGGCATTAGCTGGCTTTACGTAAGCAGCCATTTTATTGAAAAATATCATGATCTACCAAAAAGTAACCTTCATTACGGAAGCTAAGCCCTGATTTCTGGAAGATTATGTGACTGGAAACACTTTCAGGGCGGTCTGGACACTTCTCTTTTGCGAGGTTATTTCACTGGAAGAGCAGAAGTGGATAAGGATTATATAAATCTGAGCATTACTCTTTATTTGTCCTGGACTTTTCTGTTAAAATACGGAACAGTTTGAGTCATTAAGGCAAAAACAAAAGCCAGTAAAGGGAGGGTGCAAATCCTTCCTAGTATGACAAATACAATTTAAAGGAAGTTAGATTGATAAAAACAAGTATAAATACATTTGGAAACTTATTTTTTAACACATTATGATAATTATAGAACTCCAACCGACACACATTAAAGGCCATATAAAATAGATGATGTACAATTTACATATTGACTTATCATAAAAAAGACATGATTCATACTTTGCAAACTTCTTCAGCAGCAATGGGAAGTTTATAACCCTTTGACTCGTGCACTGCCTTCCTTTTTCCATGCTTGATGAGCTGTTTGTCACCCAAACTAGTAAGTCACATCTGTATCAAAGTTGGCTGTTTTTCAGCAGAAATTCAATCCTGTGAAAAGATATCACCTCGATAAGTACCTGAGTAATAAAAACAGCTTTGAAATGTGGTTTCTCAGGTCAAGAGAGGCAACACTACTCACTTGTGTGGTGCACAAAATGATACGTAGGAAGCAGTCCTGGCTTCCTGTGTGTCTGAAACATTTAGCTGCAGTGTTGTCAGCCGTCTAAACCGGACTAACTCTCTGACAGGTGATGAGAGGCAGCGGCGCTAGACTGTCATGCAATATTTTTACCCGGATATCGTTTTGCAAAAAACCTGCTGTCTGCGTTCATCCGCAAGAAATCAGACTCCTTTTATTTTTGGCAGGGAGGGAATGAAATAGCTCACTTCTGTTGCTTTTGTAATCAGGATTTTGATTCCTCTTATTTTTTCTGTCATGCCTGGATCATTTGTATTGCTTACCTTAAACACCATTTTTCATTGGAAGTGCATTTTATTACAAATGCATTGTTGACGACTTCACAGTGTTGCATACTTTGAGGCAGTAAAGAAATGTCGTTCCACCTGTTATTGTCAAATGACTACATTCTCTGTCGATGACCTTTTCACTTGCCTTGTAAATCTTTCAATTGAAAAGGTGCTTTTTTAAGTTAACCTTGTAAAAATATGTGATAGAGAAATTGTTATTAGCAACCGCTCGTTCAGGAAAAGCCAACAATGCTGTCTTAATAATGACACTCCTTGAAATTCAAACAAAACTATAACGGTGTCTCCCTCTCCATCCTCTCCAGGTGCCATCCTGGGACGCTCGGAGACGAAGCAGTGCGCCTACTACAACTCCAACTGGGAAAAGGAGCGAACCAACCGCAGCGGCATCGAGCCTTGCAGGGGCGAGGAAGACAAGCGGCGCCACTGTTTCGCCACGTGGAAAAACGTCTCCGGTGTCGTGGAGGTGGTAAAGCAAGGCTGCTGGCTGGACGACGTCAACTGCTACGACAGGTACGCAGGAAGCAGAAAATAAACATGTAATGCCTGAACAATCTAATGAAACCAAGTCAATGGAAGTTCATCCGTAGGTCTGTTGAATAACTCGTATTTAAAACCATTTTCAGTGACATTTTAAAAAATGAACGTCACTTGTTTATCGTCAGAATAGACTGGTTTGGTGTGTTGTCACTTTTGACAGCATTGAAGAGTTCCTCTAACGCCTCACATGTGGCTGTCAGGGACTTGCAAATCCTCCCTTTTTTAGAAAATGTGAAAACACAACATCTCTTCTGTTGATTATATGTGAAATATGTCATTTATACCTAGTAACAATCTTGGTTTAAGGGCTAATTTGCTCTGAAATGTAAGGTATTTGCCCCACAAACGAAATGAATATGTCAAAAATGATTCAAACTGAATTAAAATAACAGATGTCAAAAAAGTACATTTACAAATGTATCAAAGAATACGAAAAATATCCATGCCGTTTCGCCTCTTTAATCAATGCTTCAAAGCTGTACATTAATTCAAGCAAGCACACCATGAAGAGATGTTGACTCTGTAAACAGTTCAATGAAATTACCAGAGTTTTTGGTTGATTTCCCATCTTTAACAGACCGTGGTGTATTCCTCCAAACACAGAAACAGATATATTATTCTAGTTAGTTCCCGGCTCAAACCTCACCCTGGCTGCTGGTTTGAGCCGGTTCTGCTTGTGTTTGATTCGCGAGCGATAAAGTAGATGGAGCAGCCCGCACAGTTTGGGTACCTCTACTCAGACGGCGCCGCCTCGCCTCCCCGGAGAGTCCAGAGCAAGGCGAGGGCGGCTGCTGCCACTTCCTTTGGCTTTTATCTGATGACTGTGTGAGTGTGAAGCAGAGAGAGTGTGAGATTGTAAGTGTACACGTGTGTCTCTTTGCATGTGTATTGCCGTGTGTAGGAGTCACTTAATAAATGTTTTCCTTTCATGTCTTCCGAGAGGCAGGAGGGGAGTGTGTGTATGGGCCTCGTAAAGCATCTGCAGGGAGAAGTGTGTGAGCACATCAGCGTACAGTTGATGAGTTTGCGCGTGCACTCACTGGCACTTAAATAAAATAAATTGCTTCCCTGTCCTCTGCAATCGTGCAGAGAGGAGGGGATCGTTGAGTTCCTTGTTTTCTAATTCCCACCTCCATGTCTTCCGCAGTAGCGAGTGTTTGGAGAAGAAGGAGAGCCCTGACGTCTTCTTCTGCTGCTGTGAAGGCAACATGTGCAACGAGAAGTTCCTGTACGCCCCTGAAGTGCCCCAACCGGGAGCACCGCATCATTCTACCGCCTACAGTATGTACACTTCAACACACACACACTTTGCACACTAGGGTTGTGTTGCTGCCCAACCTAAAGTGGATTTTGTTGGAGTTGAAAAGTCAACTTTCTTATATTATATGAGTATTTCTGCTTACACCAGGATTTATGAGCAAAAACACCCACGACCAGTAGCAGGGAGAATACGATGTTTTAAATATCGTGTTGCCTCTGCATATGTGTAGTTGGTTTAAACTTTATTTTCTAACATCCCAAAACAATATCCAGGATTATAATTTGAGAACAGGAACAGGTTATTTACCAGGTGGGATTTGACTTGGTGTTGTACATTTGATTTGATTTATTTTGAATGTGTAAAGCAATAATACCCAAACAAAATTAATTAAACATGAGAATTATTATATTATACAAACTTAAGCGGTGTCAAATTGATAAACAAAAATATTACTGACTTACAAATTATATATAAACAAATGATCTACTTAATTACACATCCGAAAAGGGGTGGGAAGAAGTTTCCACTTATTTAATCCCACCCCAATTATTAACATATATTTATATTTATTTAACACATAAAAAAAAAAAAAAAGTAAAAACACTGATTGAATTTTTTTTTAACAAAACTATAATAGCATTAAAAAACAATAAAACGTATAGCAATATTTACATTGAAATAGAATAGAATAAAATATGTGCAGTAATAACAAAAAAATCCTCCAAAAAGTTATGTAAGGTACAAAACTGATCTCCAGGGAACACAGGTGTGGCTTTTTGAAAAGCAAAATGATGTAGCCCGTTATACTCTGTGTGCGCTCACAAACCGGTGACAGTTTGGTGTCCTTGAACTCATCACCTCGCTGCTGAAGGCGCGTCTGTCTTCTCCTATTCCTTTAAATGTGACTCTGTGAAACCTGTAGAGAAAAAAGCTATCTGACAATCGCCCTGAGCGTCCCACCATGCAGCTGGTGCAGCCCCGTCGGCCCCAACTTGTTCTTTCACCCCCCCCCCCCCCACCCCGCGGATGGCGTCCGGGCGTCGGCGCTCTGACAGGGGCAGCCCAATCAGACGCTCACACCTTGTGATGGCAGCACGGGCTGAGCCAGCAGGCATCACCCTGCAAGGGTCACACACAGTTCACAGCTCTGTTATTTTTGGAAGGGCGGATTACGTTATGTCACGAGATGGATTTGCTAATCCGTGGGTGTGTGTGTGTGTGTGTGTGTGTGTGTGTGTGTGTGTGTGTGTGTGTGTGTGTGTGTGTGTGTGTGTGTGTGTGTGTGTGTGTGTGTGTGTGTGTGTGTGTGTGTGTGTGTGTGTGTTGTGTGTGGTGTGTGTGTGTGTGTGTGTGTGTGTGTGTGTGTGTGTGTGTGTGTGTGTGTGTGTGTGTGTGTGTGTGTGTGTGTGTGTGTGTGTGTGTGTGTGTGTGTGTGTGTGTGTGTGTGTGTGTGTGTGTGTGTGTGTGTGTGTGTGTGTGTGTGTGTGTGTGTGTGTGTGTGTGTGTGTGTGTGTGTGTGTGTGTGTGTGTGTGTGTGGTGTGTGTGTGTGTGTGTTGTGTGTGTTGTCCTAAGCACACAGGCTGTAAGCAGGGTTGATACTGCACTTAGAGATGATGCAGCACAATGTCAAACCAATCAGGCAGCTGTGGAACACGTATGCAGATTATTTGTAGCCATACCAAAGAGTAAAAATACTCTATTGCAAGTAAAGGTCCTGCATTCAAAAACCTTACTTAAGTAAAGGTATCAACAACAACATATACTTAAATTGCTTAAGACAATGAAAGCATTTGTTAAGCTTTATGGCTTATTTCTGAATGAAATATATTACAATGATTGAATTTGTATTATTGATGAATAAATCACAGCTGGCATAAGTGTAGCTATGTATAATAGCATAGTATAATTGCTGCTAGATATCTTAACTGATATGTATATGTCAATTTATTTGTATTTAGACGTAACAATGTGATATATTGGATTGTTTTATATTTTCATGAAGATAAAAAAATGCCAATTCCTAACTTGTCATTTTTTGTCAACTCTGTCTCTCCCCACAGCCACCTCCAACCCATTTTCCCAGAAGCCCCAGCTGTTCAGCACTCTGCTGTACTCCCTGGTTCCCATCATAGGCCTGGCCGCCGTGGTCCTCTTCTCCTTCTGGATGTGGAGGCATCACAAACTGGCCTACCCCGCCGCCCTCGTCCCCACACATGTAAGTCTCAGAAAAACTCTTAAAATGTGAAATGAAACCCTCCAACTAAAGTCCACTCCATGACTTCATCAACCCTCATCACTGTGGTGTGTTTCCAGAGGTCACCTGTCAATCAAACGGTGTGGCAGGGACACTGGTGTCGGCTTTCTTCAAAGTTGCTGCTGATGCAGTTAGGGTTTCTCTTTTAGTCCGTGCTTCATCTGTTAATTGCAAACAAAGAGGGAAAAAGTCAAACGCATTGTTTCCTGCGTCGCAAATTACCCACATACTGTAAAATCAAACACTAAAGCTTTCAAAAACACATACAAATAATCAAGATAGGGACATTTAACGCTGTACTTACATAACAACCATTAAATATAACAAACAATACAAGTAAATTGTCATTAGTTTCTCGTGTGAATAAAGACTCTTGTTTTGTTTGGAGTAAAAACCAACCTTCAAAATTACAGCTGATCTAGTCTGCAGTGGGCTGAGACAGCCTTGCCCCCCCCCCCCCCCCCCCCCCCCCCCCCGCCGTGCACACAGAGACAGAGACACACTGTGCACAGAGTTTACGTTGAGATAATTGCTTTTTCAGTTTCTTCTTTTGAAAGTTGTATTGAAGGAGCCCTGGTTTCCTTTTTACCTTGAGTCTCTTTCTGAGCCAACGCTCAGACTGTAGCTCTCTCTGACGGCTCGTATTGTCTCACCTTTTAATCGCACAATTGCGAAATGCAAGTTTGAGGCACATCTGGTTGTGTCGTCGTTCGCTTATTCATTACTTATTCATTACTTTGCCATCAGGGTTTTTCCATAGCTGAAAAAACATCAACTTTTCATGTCTTCACTGGACAGTTTCATCACCTGTTTTAAACATCTTCATCCTCCTAGGGCTGGGAATAACGCTGTTTTGCAGAATTCCTGATTCATATCGTTTTTTTGTTATCACTTCAAGGCAGTTATGAGCCAACAGCAGCAGCAGAGCTATATTCTCTGCAGCTCAGCAGCAAGGGGGAAAAGAAAACCCAAGCAGAGCTTCCACCGTATGGAAGAGGAGTCAGGGGCCTCTGCATTATTGATGAGGCTTTATATAGGCAAACAAAACTAAACACAGAGACGCTCGCAGCTCTGCCTCCGAGGATTGTGGGTGGGTGGGGAGTGCGGGGGCGGGAGTGAGGAGAGACATGCAATTCTTTCAACTTGGTTATTGTATTTGCACAGAGCTAAAGCATAGCAGGGAAGAGATAAAAAGATAGTGGCACAATGCAATCAGGAAACAAATGCTAATGTAAATCGGAAATCAACACTGCTTTATGAAACATCTTACCTGGAGACAAATAAATGAACGACATAAAACAAAACGAGATCATGACCAACGAGGAGTCAGATCAACTCAGAATGCACAGCTGAAATATTCATAAAATCACAGGGGCGGGGGAGAAATGAAATAGCCCGGATGGAAGAAATGAAGTCATGGCGGATGTGTGTAATCGCGTGTGCGTGCAGAAGTATTTAATGCATGAGTAGGTGTACAAGGACAGGAGGAGGAAAGGAGGTCACTCGTACACGGATGTATTTAAGAGTCTGAAAGGAGGTGATGCAGTAAACCCCACCCGCCTGCTACTTGAAGGTGGATAAAACCTTATCTGATACACATCCCAAGGTTATTTTCTAATTGTTTACACCAGGGTTTTCAATAGGCGCTTTCACACCGGAGTACTTTTCCCCGTGCTTTTCCCGTTTAGTTCCGATAGTTCCTGGGATTTTGCGTTCACACCAAAAAAAGAACTTAGTTCATGAGAACTTTTTAGTGCCTGCTAGAGAGGTGGGACTTTCCTGGGGAGAAAAAAGTTCCAATTTCTGATTGGCCGGGCCAATTGCAAACCACGCCCCGTAAAACTCGGAAAGGTTTTTTGAAGCCGCCATTGTATTTGCTGGCATTAGCATTATTAGCATTAGCATTAGCCCCGCGCAGAAACGCAGAGAGACTAACTTATGGCAACACAAAAAAAAACATGGGAGCGGTGGAGATGAGGAGGTGTCGGCGTTCTGGCGATTTACTCAGAAGGCTTCAGTAGAAGCTGCTGGGAGTCCCAGCAGAAGAAGAAGTGACATCAGCGGCTTCATCTGCGTAATCTTCCCTCAGGGAACTTATTCCGGTGTGAACGCGATCTGCTCTTAGTTCCATGGGGGTACTAAGTGCTGGGAACTAATTACGGCAAAGTACTTGGTGTGAAAGCGGCTAATATAGAAGATGGAGAGCTGTGGGAGATGGATGCAGCAGGAGAGGAGATTTATTTCTATGTTCTTGTTTTGGGGTTGTTGTTGTTGAAGAATGCTCCACAGGCTGTATTAAAAAAGCAGGGGAGACTCCGGCAATCACTCAAATGGCTCGCTCCAAAGTCACTGCGGACGGCTTCCAGCGATTCTTCCACCGCTGAGAGCGAAAAAACCCGTCTGCTCCACCGCAGGTTACTGAGCAACACCTGCCTGATGAAGTCACATTTATATAAGAACTCAGGACAATAAGATGTTGAACGCCTACTGTTAAACCTGACTCATAGCTCCAAGGCATTCTCACACATCGACATGTCTCTCGTCAAGCAGAGGAATGAAGACAAAGTCACTAGTGTTGTCCAAAAGGCACTAAACAAATCTGTGTGCAATTGAAATGCATATTATACTTGAATATAAGTTTGTATTTTTTAAAGCGACACGAGTTGCATAACAAACCGACTTTCATTATGTTGCATATTAGCTTATAGCAACTCAATTAGCCCTCAAAGGTAGAATATACTTTATGGATTTAGTCTAAAAGAGCGCAAGTAAGCTGGACTTTATCCTGCTTGTTTTTGTACTACATTCATTAGAGCATAATACACAATACTTACTCATCGCTTTTTGTGTGACGGTAACAAATTGCCCACACTTTTTGCTAGTTAGATCTTATGGTTTTTCGTCATAGGTATTTTTCTTTGTTCTTTTGGCTCACTTTCTACATTTAGCCAGCCAAAGAGTTCACAGTCAGTGAAGACAAAGAAAGTGGCTTCCATTATTTTCTTTGCAAGGTAATGAAACATGTAGTCTTCATGATGCAAAAGTAATTGTTCCCATTTAATGATCATTTAATAGATTCATTATCACGCCTCAGTGATCTAATTTCGAAAAGAAAGACTTTACTAGGGACAGACTAAAGGTGAAGGTATTTGAGTTCATACAGGGTTAAACATTTTAAAAAGTGCATCTTTAACTTTCTTGCACTTACTTTCAAGGCCCTCGAGCCTTAAGGAGATTACATCCAGAGAGAAATGCAGAAAACAATGCAGCTAAGTGACTAAATGGCACGTTGTCATTATGAGGGTGGTCCATCATGGGCTGCATATTCGCCACCAAGCCTCCATTACTCACACCACAGCGCGAAGTGGAGGCAAATTGGAATTGATTGTGTCTGAGTACACAGACCCACCGCTTTCACACGCAAAGGCCTGCAGCACTTACACTTGTGTCTGGACTTTTTTTTCTTCACCTGGATGCTGTTTTCTTAATCTGTCCATCGCCCCGATCGATTCTGACCAAAATCTCATCAATTGCTTTACTATGGAGCTACTCGCATCTGGGTGTAGCTTTCCAAAGAGCCACTAATGGGGCGTCCAGGTGTCCTGAAAGACTGCTGACTTTTGACTGCTGCGGCTTATTTGTGATTTTGACTTTTGCTGGGAAAACGCAGCTCATGTGTTGCCATGTGAAATGCAAATCAGATCAAAGTGTGAGCTGGTTGTGAAAGATATACTCGTGTGTGTATTTTTGACATGCTTGGTTATGCTTCAAATTCTCCTTGGGGGTTACTTTAATTTGCTTTCCATTGACTTGTCCCCCATATGGCTGTGAATAAAACATTACAAACTATGTGTAGGTATTTACTAGAAGGGTGAACACAACATCACATAGTGTCTAATTTAAATAAAAAACATTTCCGATTTTAGAATATTTAGTTTGGACTCATTTCTTATAAGGCATGTTTTGTTTTAAATGTAAGATTGAAGCATATGTGAATCTTTTTGAGTTTTTCTCAAAGTAAAAAAATGGCAAATAATACTTTTAGGAAAGACATATTTTTGCTGTTTTTTGTGCAGTATGATCAGTTTTAATTTCAGTTTAGGGGCTTTCGTTCACTTATTTAACTCTACATTTCTGTGTCTTACGTAATCTTTGTGTGTACAATCATGCATCTTCCATCAGGGGGAACTATAAGAACTTTCCTTTTAACACATTGTTAAATCCATTTTCATTTGCTCTGCTTATTAATAGCATCATGTACATTCCTTTATACACCATCTTGCCTTGGTACCATGCTTATTAACACCTTGTGATCCATATGGGATTACCTGTTCCTTCATGTGTCCCAGACTCAATCTTCCCAAGCCTCAGTCTGGAAGGAGAACAAAAGGTTGTTCGGGGACGACCCATCGTTCCCCTGCCCCTATTTCATCCACTAACCGAAGGAAAATAATTTCTCTGTTTGCTTCCTATGTTCCTTTTCAACAAGCACGCCTTTCACATTATGGTGGAGGTAAGAGCAGTTCAATTGAAGTTGAAACTCTATTAGTTTTCCCCCCCCTTTTTTTGGGTTCAGAGCTTGCTTTGAATTCTCCACCTCGATCCCAGACCACCATTTTGTTCTTCTCTTTGCGTCTTGTTTTCGGTTCGAAGCACTTTTTTTGTTCTGCCTGGGTATTATTGCATGGATGGATGTCTTTTGTGTTCCCTGCTGAAAAATGTATTGTGCATGGTGGAAAAAAAGTGGCCGACACGGCTCCGAATGCAGCCCTCCTTTTCTTTTATTCTATGAATGTCCACCTGTGATGTTTATGTAACGTATTGTGTCTGATGTGACCCAGTTTCCAGAGTGCTATCTGCAAGACCTATGGCTCACCATGCAGAGACGGGAGAAACTGCAGCATGCTTTTCATCCTTAAATGCAAAACGAGGAGGAGTGCAGATAGATTTTTGCATAAGTGCGAGAATTGCCACTTAAGTTCAAGGCACCGAGTGTAAATTACTTAAGTACAAGAGGAGCGTAAGCCTCTGTAAATGTACTTTGGCTCAAATTCTATCCTTCTGCAGTAGCAGTATGGCTCACAGAACATTTAAAAATAAATATATAATAGGCAGCTCACTAAATAAAAGTCAGTCATGCTGTCAGAGTTCAGAGCCAGGCTTATTGTGAGCCTTCCAGCTGCACTCTGTTTAAGGTCATGTCAACAACTTTTGATATTACCTCAAGTTCACATCAACAACACAACATGACCTTAACATGTGAGTTTTGGAGGAAAGCTTCTACGTATTTCTAAAAATCAAACTTAGCATTTAGATTCACTTCACCTAAACCCTGGACAAACCAAACCAGGCCTCACGGATCAGTTGTGATGTAACAGATGAAGGTGTAATCCGATTAGGCCATGGGAGATGGTTGAGGGTTGGGAAGAACGGCGTGAAGCAGCAGATTCTGTCTTCCTGTTTCCTGCGGTCTGCTGACTCAGTGTAATGCGCCCCCGTCAGAGGCTACCGTGATCGGACACGGTATCCGGTGACTCCCGGGGGGGAGGGGCCGCATCGTCAGGCTGAAAAGCCCCGGAAGACAGGCAGAAGGTTTCCAGAAACAATACAAAGAGTCCTGAGATAACTTGCTTTTCAACCTCATCAGGATCATCTGAAATGCCAAGAAGTTGTCACCATGTGGATGACATTCACCATCAAATCCGTCATCAAAATCACATCTCGGTTGCCCGGCATGTGCAGGAATCCTCCCCTGGCTTTACGTCTAACGATGACTTGCATTGTACCGTTAGGCAACACCGGCATGTGGAGCACGTCTATCGTCATTTACTCATTCGCATCACGATCGGACGCACTGCCACATATTTGGCCGTGCACAATGGATGCACAGGAATTTGTCTTTGTGACATTTGTGCAGACATTCTGGTGATTCTGTGGGAAAGATAAGACGGTGCGAGAATTGCTGATTTATTAACCACATCGTCACCCGTATCAGAATGACTTTAACCCCAAATACAGACATTTATTTAGCTATTTTAAGGCTGGAATGAATGCCTTTTTAACAGTTCTCCAACTTACTAACAACCTGCAATGTTAATAATCCACCTGAGGATCTTTTATGATATCATTCATGAAGATACCCTGATTACAACACTGGAGCTTTTCTCTGTTTCAGACTCATCTGACATGCATTATAAAACAACTCAATCCAAATCCAAATCACGATCAGAATTTGAAACACTTTTAATTACTTAGCACGATAAACATGCAGGCATTTGAATGGAAATGTAATAAATTGCTACAGAACAGCAAGCACTTCTTGTGTTGGCTGAAAAGACACAGCCCTTGGATAAAACTCTAATTTTCTCCACTAAATCCTGATCAGAATAATAACTGCCTTAGACTCAGAAGAATGTTTTGCTACATTTCCTGCCCATGGAACAGTGATGGCAAAGGGAGTCATTTTCCCTGACAGTATCACAGCAGGTGTACCCTTCTGGTTCTGCTCGCACTTTCCTGTTATTTAATTGCTCTTGGGACAGAATATTCTCTCCCTTTTTATCTCTGTTGTCGGCTCACAGTTTCCTACTGTTGGGCTAACAGTTGGATTTGTTGCTGGTGGCTGGAAAACAGGATAAAAGTGTTGGATAACAACACCATTAACACACTAATAGTACATGTATATTGTGCAAATTGTCTTTCTGATATTGGGATCTCTTAAATGGATCATGCAAAATATATAAAACACAAACAGGAAGATAGAGGGACCAATAGAAATATAATTATTATAGTCTTTACAATATTACAAACCTTATATTTTGACAATTCTACTGTTATATACTTGTCGTTTATAACGACTTGTCGTTGGAGTGACTTTCACTTAAAGTCTTGCATCTACAGTTCATATGAGCTTGTTTCTAATCATAGATATTCCCTTCAAACGTTCAAACCACCAATAATTTCTATGTTATTTTATCTATCTTAAGTCCATTTGGTCTCAATTATTCTTAAAGCTCAAACAGTGCTGATACATGACAGGGTTTCCAAGTATATTTACACAAAATGTTGGAAATTACTGCCTTGGACTTGTGCATAAATTAGTACGAGTCACTAGCTAAACTCGAAGCTAACTTTGTGGTAAGATGAAGTCAGTGAAATGTGAATACAGCCCATTTTCTGATCATTACTTCATTATCTTCTAGTTGTTTGCTTTTAGGATGGAAGACAACTGTACGTTTTTATTCAACTCCTCCTCAGGGATACCTCCAAAGAGTGTATTCTCATGCTTACTAAACAACATTGAGAACAGATAGATTCCTTATTCAGTTGGTACTTTGTGTTCTGGAAGATGTTTTTTAAGGGTGGCAACTTGGGACCGCTTGTGCCGCTCTGTAATCCAACCTCAGCTGCAGCATTGTGGGTAATTTCCCCCGTCATTTGGCCGGCGTTCAGTGTGAGAGCAGAGCGTGCAGACAGCAGGTCTGCCTCGCAGCTCTGTGTCAGAGGAAGGGAAGACTTTAAATACACACTCCAATCCTCCATTCCCCCTTCAACTGGAAGGCAGTGGAAGACACCCTGCTGCATGTTTCCACAAACAAAAAAATGTTTTCTTTTATTTTTACTAAGCTACTTGTTTATCTGCAGCTGCTTCTACACGGATAGTAGTACAAACTCCACTCCTGGATTCAACTTTGTCACTCATTTGGAGTAATGTGGTCATTTCATGAGTTAACAAACGATATACATTAGGTTTTGCAAGACTTATTCGACAGTAATGCTAATTTAACTAAAATCATGTTACTTATTTAACATACATTAGGCGCTTTCACACCAAGTACTTTGCCATACTTAGTTCATGAGAACTTAGTTCATCAGAACTCAGATCGCGTTCACACCGGAATAAGTCCCTGAGGGAGGATTAGGCAAATGAAGCCACTGACGTCACTTCTTCTTCTGCTTTGGGTTTACTGGCAGGCCGCAAACAACTCCACGGCGTATACTGCCACCCGGAAGTCCCCGGAGTTGGGGACTGGCTTCAGTAGAAGCTGCTGGGAGTCCCAGCAGCTTCTACTGAAGCCTTCGGAATAAATCGCCAGAACGCCGACACCTCCTCATCTCCACCGCTCTCACGTTTTATTTTGTGTTGCCATAAGTTAGTCTCTCTCCGTTGGTGCACGGAGCTAATGCTAATAATGCTAATGCGAGGAAATAAAATGCCGGCTTCACAAAACCTTTTGGGAGTTTTACGGGGCGTGGTTTGCAATCCGCCCAGCCAGAAATGGGAACCTTTTTCTCCCACGAAAGTGCCTGCTCTCTAGCCGGGACTGAAAAGGGGGTGAAAAGGTTCTCATGAACTAAGTTCTAGTTCCGGATTTTTTTGGTGTGAACGCACATTTTCGGAACTATACTGGGAAAAGTACTCCGGTGTGAAAGCGCCTAATGTATCAGGGCAGTCCACACAATCTTAACTTCTCCTGGATTAAATGCCAAACTAGTGTTTTTATTTAATATTTCCAATACTTAAACATCCAAATCCAGTACCATGGTGTACCAGTAGGCATGAATAAGAACCTATTAAACTGACAAATCTGTAAAGTCATTCTTTAGGTATAAAATGGCACAATCTCATGTCGCACCTAAGACACTTTTCACTTATCTTTCAAAAAGGAAGTACCTTCTTTTATGTGAACTAAAGGTCACTTGGTTCATAACCACACACACTTTGAAATGGATCAAATCAAAGCTATAAATGCTACTAAATAAGATAGAGTTTGTTTCTGGTGCTACAATAGTCTTGTCAGGACAGGCGGTTTCAAATTATTTGCATATCACCGGTGTTTAGAGTGGGTCTGTGCCAAATCCTCGACAGTAAATCAAACGGAGCGTGCTGCAACTCTTTTCCTCAAAAGAGAGCTCATCTCTGTGTGTTGGATTAAATCTGTAGCAAACCTTTAACCCGAAAGGGGGCATTTTATTGGACGTGAGATTGACAAGCTCTTGTGAAATATCGTCACGCCGTTTGAATGGATCCTGTGGGCCTCGGGGTCTGGTAACTTGCTCCAGCTTATCAAGCACCTTCAGTTCAAGTAAAAACATGAGCAAGGGGGGGAAAGATTTCTTCCCGACAACAACGACGTGGATGTGAAGACGAGATTTTTTACAGGAGCATATAAGGTTGCTTCAAAGGCCATCAGTCATGCACTGGTCTCTCTCCTCTAACTTTTATCCTTTTGGAAATGTGACTCCCATGCTTCCTTTGAACCTCTCTCCTCACTCGCACTCTTGTCCTTCCTGTGGAGTCACATGTGAAAGTGATCAGCTTAACCCCGATCACCAGCTGTGTTTAACCCACTTTACATTTGGAACACTTGCTTTCACTTTTGTTTAAACTGGATTAGCATGAACGCTCAGCGCACGCATGATGATTCACCCCCTCTATGTTTTTATTTTCAACCCATTTTCAAATCAACCTGCTTCATATTCATTCATGTTAAGATCTTGAGGTGACTTGCCCACTTTTCCAGCTTCCACTTCCACTTTACGCTTCTGTAAACTCACGCTGATACAGCCCTGAGGGGTTTTAGTTGAATTTAAAACGAATTAAACCCGCTACATACGCTGTGTCCTAACTGCCAAAAAACACTTCAGTTATAACAATACTGAAGATATACATTCAGCGCTTCGTGAAGCAGAATTTCAAAAGTAATTTAACCATAAAATATAAAGCAAAAAAGCAGCCAGGCACCACAACATAAACAAATATAAGAAATGGGCTATTAAAAAAGTGCATTATCACATAAAATGATATTCTTAACGTTGTGATTTAAGGTGTCAAGATAAGGGCTTCACGATTAGGGATGATGACAAGAATAAGGAATAACGCTGTGTTCTGTCGTTTTTTCTCTGCCCTCTCTCTAAAGGACCCCGGACCCTCACCCCCGTCCCCCATCCTGGGACACAAGCCGCTGCAGCTGATCGAGGTGAAAGCCAGGGGGCGCTATGGGTGTGTGTGGAAGGCCCAGCTCCTCAACGATTTTGTGGCCGTTAAAATCTTCCCCATTCAGGTATAAGATACTGGATATTTATGTTTTGGTTGACTTGTTTTGTATTTATTTTCTTATAAAATATATATATATATATATATATATATATATATATATATATATATATATATTCTTATATAATTTTCACTTTTTTTATTGCATTGTTGTTCATGTTTTTATTTTATTTATTTATGTATTTCTTTGTACAAAACACAAACTTATTTCTTTACAGAGAATTAAAGAAACTAGCCTTATTGTTTGCTTATAAATAAATATTAAAAAGATCAGCCAAATTAATAATTAAACTAATAAATGTAAATTAATATTAATACAAATATCATACTAAATTGAAAACACAATTTGTTCAGATTAGGCTTCAAGCCCCTTTGGAGACGTGTGTAGACGATGAAAAGAAACAGAAAGCTCATAATACAAAATGAAAAAACAATAAACATAAAGGCTTATTTGAATCCCGTTTCAGAAGGTTTATGAATTATTTCTACCTCTGCTTCTCGCCACCTTACTTGTCTTGTACGATTCATATTTGATTCTTTCCTTAACTATTGATGACAGAAATAACATCTGCTCGTGTCTCCCCGCTGTAGGACAAGCTCTCGTGGCAGAACGAGTACGAGATCTTCAGCCTGAGCGGCATGAAGCACGACAACATCCTCCACTTCATCGGAGCGGAGAAGAGGAACAATAACCTGGACCTGGAGCTGTGGCTCATCACCTCCTACCACGATAAGGTATGCAGTCCGTGACAGAGCTCCAACGCCTTTAAAGTTATTATTTATTTTTTATTGAGTCATTTTCTGTTTTATACGTTTTGAGCTGCAGACTTTTTACAAGCAGTGGCTGCACACGACGCAGGAAATAACATGCTGAATGCTGTCTCTTTTGAAATGTAAGGTTAATTGATGACTTTTTTTACATTGATTATGAAAGTCTTTTACAGTACGATAAGACAGAAATGTTCCATTTGCCATTTGCAAAACCAACAAACACATATATTTTACACAAGAAACAAGGAAACAGACATTTAACATAACATTACAATCACTGTAGAGCAGTGTTTCTCAAACCTTTTCATACCAAGGACCACTTAACCAATAAAAAAACACTCGCGGACCACCTAACTCCACAAATATGCAAAATCACATCGTCTTTCTAGAACAGATTACAAATCGCCTGAAAATGGTACAAACAAGTGGCAACATGTGTGACGAAGGTGTTGCGCTGGGCTATATCATGCAATGAAACTTAAGCTCGCTCCATCGCGGAGATATTCCCACGAGAGTGCGGAAAACTTTTATTTATAAAATGTATTAACCAAATTTATTTCAAATGTGAAATGTTACCAATATACTCACGGACCACTAGGGGGCGCTCACTGACCACCAGTGGTCCGCGGAGCACACTTTGAGAAGCACTGCTGTAGACGATATGTCCAAGATCCTTTGACGTAGATTTGATCTGGGATTAATCTCCATATTTCATTTTAGGATTGACTTCAATCTAATCTAATTAAATCCACTGGAAATATAAGAACAAATGATGATATTTTAACACATAAACTAGCTTTACTTTAACAATTCAAACACATTAGGGAATGTATTGCTTTAACAAAGTCGCAGAGGGGTGAAAAAGCTGTTAGTGGTGCATCGTTGCATTCAAAATAATTCAATCTAATATACAACTAAGACTAAAACAATTAAGCACTCAAGTTTCCACAAATAAATAATAACCATAGCCTTTTTCATAAATATGCCGCTGAAGACTCTGACCAGCGTGTGTTCTGGTTTACTCCTGCACAAGAAAACAAATGTGTTTGTTTGTGTCCATGTAAACACAGTTATATATCCGTCGTAGCCTATCGTCTGGCAGCCCGAGCACAGGCAGCTGATAACGTTGTAAACACTGGAAGAGGGGGAAAACATGCATGAAGCCTGCACATTGTATTGATTCTGTTAGCAGCCTTAGGAGCTAATCCATAATTACTATATACTTCCTGCTGTTTCTTTCTCTTTTTATAAGCCCTGTTTATCCAGAGAAGGTGGATTTTTGTAAGCCGCGTTGGGCTCTTTGTAGCATTTGGGCTTTTAAGTGCCTCTGTGTTTTGAGGGGTCATTACCGAGGAAGTGGAGAGGGATTCTCTCGTACGCTTCGCTTGCTTGAGTTTCCCAGCCGGGGCCAAGAATTTAAATCACTGAGCTTAAAAAGACTTTCCCTGCGTGAATAAAGATTGAACAATTAAAGGTTGTGGGTGTGGTGACTCTTAGTTATCCACAAATGTGGTTTAAAGGAGTTCTAGAAGAAGGTCAGCAATATATCAGAACAACATTTTGGTGCCTTGTCAAGCATCCACTGTAATTATTTAGAAAGCAGAAGGCTTTGGAGGACACATAACTTAAATATTAACATACAAAAAGCCTGTCCTTCCTGCCGTTATTTTGTCAGTTTGAGCTGAAACTTGTGCAACACAGCTGGAACACTGATTGCAGAGTTCAGTGTCCTTGACAGCTGATTTATGTCTCCATGTTCGGGACTTTTGAGAGGTTTTATGTCGAGGTTTGAGTTTCCTTTGCATGCAGGAGCTTGCTCTAAAGGATGCATGACTCTTCCAAAAACTTCTTGTAACAGAATCTTAGATCAAATCAAATCAAATTGTATTTATATGGCACATTATGACAAAAATACACTTGTTTTAGGGGCTTTACGGGAAAGAAAATATGAACAATAGATAATCCAAATGACAAATTATCATGTGAATGTTTACAAAATTAAATAAGATGGATCCAAGTGCCTTAACTATAAGATGTAGTAAAAGGTATTAAGCCTACTTAAAGATGGAAAAGTTGTCTGCCTCCTGAACACAAACTGAGAGCTGGTCTCAAACAATTGTTGTCTTTTAAAGGGAGATTGTCTGATTGGTCACCTTGTTTTTTTTATAATTGAACAGCATTGGAAGTAATGAACAAGCCCAGGTAACACTGGGAAACATTCACCTAAAAAAGACTACAGAAGTGATCAGATGGAAACATTTCCACATGTGTTGGAGCTGCTTGCCCTCTAGTGGTGACTCCTGCAGCTGCACCTGCTTTCATGAGTGACCTTGTGTGAAATGAACATACATTATGTAAGACAGAACATGTATAAAGGATAAGCAATGAAACGGGTGCAGCTTGAACATGTACATCTCAGCATTATAATCCTTCCTTGGGAGCAAATTAGATTTCTATACAGCAATATTTAATATAAATCTTCAAATGTGACTAAGAGGCATTTGCCACGATGAAAATGTGTCTCAATAGTACGATAAAATAAGCGGATATTTAAGTATATCCTTGCTGATCAAATCCTAGCAAAGCTTCCCTTGATAAAGACAGAATAAAGAACAAATATCAAGGAGATAAATCAGCCGCATTTATCACAGCGCCATTATTCACCAGAACAATCTATGAGCAGGGAGTTGGCCAGAGGACTTCACTGTGGCTCGAAAAGGACACCCAGTGGGTCGTGTTATTTATCACCCTTCATTGAAATATGAAGCTCCATAAATATATCCCCTTTTTTTCTTCTCTGTGATAAACATCTGTACAGTTACTGTATTGAATATCTAACTAAATGTATTTTACCGAAAGAGCCATTCAGCTGATGTTGTAAAGAATTGGTTTTATTGGTGAAATTCTAGCCACAAGCCAGAGTGACTTTCCGGCCATTAGGGATCTTGCTGTTACCATGGAAACCTGCTCTCGCCATTACTATACTATTATTTAGTATTTTATATCCCTGTAGTCATTTGATTTGATCGTTTCCCTGACGTCACCCATGTTTCTATATCCTCTTGAGACCTGGGAGAAAAGATTTGAGTATTTTAATGATGTTTTTTTATCACACATATCACACACACATTGGGATTTCTGAAACATATAAAGATTTTATTCTCAAGAATTTTAATTTTTATCTCATTAGATGAATATTAGAAATACATTCCCGTCAAAAAAAAAACCCTGCTTTATTGTCTGCCTCACTCCTTCCTCATCTCCTGAGTGCTCAATGTTGATACTCCCTAAATAATTCATATTGTATTTTGACAAAGTATATTTTCCCTCCCTTAGCAATTTGTTTCCTGAAAAATGGATGAAAATAAAAATAAGCAATTGCAACCGTCCACACCTAAGGAAATATATAATGTGTACTTTGAGTGGCTCAAAAGTTATCATATACTTCAAAGAATTTAAAATGGATTAGTTTATACTCACAATAGAATCTATATAGAATCAAATAGATAGAAATCTTTATAAATGTGATCAATTTTAAGACTTTAAATGATCATATGCTTATCAAATGTTAATATAATTTTTATAAATAAAAAACAACATCCTTATAGAGACAAGTAACAATATATATTTGTACATTTGCTCAGTTCACTGCCTGTCAGACAATAAATGTGCAATTCCCACTATTTCAAAAGACACATCCCCATGTGAGTTAATTCCCTAGAAAGCCCAGGACGTGCTTTTCACAGAACATCAGACAAACTGCATGCATGGTTAGAAAAAAAAAAGCCTAAGTGTATTGTCTCCCACGAGGAAAGTTGCCAGGTCTCAGCAGGAGACGAGTGGAAAAACAAATACCTGTACATCACATAGGTCTAATAGATAAATGAAATGACTTCATCTCTCCTCCTCCTCTCCCTCCCCAGGGCTCCATGACGGACTTCCTGAAGGCCAACGTGGTGTCGTGGAACGAGCTGTGCCACATCACTCAGACGACGGCCCGCGGCCTGGCCTACCTGCACGAAGACATCCCGGGACACAAAGACGGACACAAGCCCTCCATCGCCCACAGGTGCGCTGCCCAAATATCTCATAAAAAAACAGACGTATCATTGTGACTGGCCCCGTGAGTTTTGTTGGACTGAATGTGGTTTCTTGTTTGTCTCTCAGGGACATTAAGAGTAAGAATGTGCTGCTGAAGAGCAACCTGACCGCCTGCATAGCTGACTTTGGCCTCGCCCTGCAGTTTGAAGCAGGGAAATCAGCCGGAGACACACATGGACAGGTACAGTTCAACAAGCAGGTGTAAAATAAAATAATAAAAGTTACAGTGCAGTTTTAGTTTTTTATTTGTTAAATAAAAGGCAGCAGCAAACAGAAAATACAAAGCTGCCTTTTCTCTCTATCTGTTCTGTGTCAAACCGGATCCTAGGGTTAGGGTTAGGACACGTAGATTTGTGTTTCTGCCAGATAAGCAAAAAGCTTTGTTACGAGCATCAATTTTGCCGTTTCAGGCCCTCTTTGTGCTGTGTCATGGTTTAATTCTTCCAGTTCAGTTCTGACCTCTTGAGCTGTTCGATCTGAACCTGTAGGTGTAGGAACATTCACTGGGTCTTATATATTTATTTTTATTTTAGTATATATATTCTTTTCTAAAAAATGTTAATGTTTCTTTCAATTTTGTATTTTAATGTATATTTAAAAAATTTTATAGATTTTTTTATTTTAATACATTTATTAAAATAAAAAATATGTATTTATTATTTATATTTGACATTACCATTTTGTAAATTAATTGTTCTATGTTGTAATTTTATGATATTTACCTACAGAAATTAATGTTTTTTTTTTTTTAAATATACAGATGATTTTGGGCTGTATAACTACATTGTGATTTATATTTGATTCAGGTGGGGACGCGGCGCTACATGGCTCCTGAGGTCCTGGAGGGCGCCATCAACTTCCAGCGCGACTCCTTCCTGCGCATCGACATGTACGCCTTCGGCCTCGTCCTCTGGGAGCTCGCCTCGCGATGCACCGCCGCCGACGGTGAGACAGAAAAACGCTGCCATTAATAAGTGCACGCTGTGTTATTTGACTCCAGATGAATCTACAATATGACCATGTGGTTGTGTGTTTTCAGGCCCCGTGGATGAGTACATGCTCCCGTTCGAGGAGGAGGTGGGTCAGCATCCGTCTCTGGACGACATGCAGGACGTCGTCGTTCACAAGAAGCTGCGGCCCATCCTGAGAGACTGCTGGCAGAAACACGCGGTGAGCAAAGAAAACACATTGTCTCCGCTTTGAAGTTGTTCAATTGTTAAATATGTAGTACCAAATGTCACCAAATTCCTTGTGTTACATTTTGAGGCAAACAATCAAATGTACTTAGATTTGATATCTTTTTGTATGTTTTGCAGTAACATTAATGTCTGTTCTCTCCCAGGGTCTGGCCATGCTCTGTGAGACCATCGAGGACTGCTGGGACCACGAGGCGGAGGCTCGCCTGTCGGCCGGCTGTGTGGAAGAGCGCATTGGCCAGATGCAGCGCCAGGCGCCCGCCATTGGCCCCGAGGAGATCGTCACCGTCGTCACCATGGTGACCAACGTGGACCTCCCGCCCAAGGAGTCCAGCTTATGATCAACGTGAAGACACACGGATCAACACGAGGGGAAGAGCAGCCAACCCTGGTTGGTTGGCATAACGATATTTCCGTTTTTTTCCTTTAAGTGCGGGCCGCTACTCGGGCTCAGGGAACACCTTGCGCCCACCTCACCACATGAGTTGATATCCACCTCATTTTGATATGTGTGCCTGAGGATTTGAAACATTTTAACGGTTGAAACTCTCATCACCGAGCAATCGATTCAGGATATATAACGAGGACAAACGGCGTCACCGAGGGCGGACATGCTGGGACGACGACACTCGACAAATACTTCTACCATGTATTGTTTTTATATACATACACACACACACATAGGAGGGTGACCCGTTCTGCTCGGTTTTTCTACGGAGAGAGAAGATCCGGCGGGGAAAGTTCACAGGACTCTCGGTGCATTTTAGTGTAAAAAAGAAAAAACCTGGCTCTGGATACATTTGCTGTTTTCTCGTGTGCGTTTTTCTGAAGAAACGACTATCGTTCTGCCAATAAGCAACGGCTTCTGAATGTTTATAGTGTAATGCTGCTGTACATAGTGTATTATGGACCCAGACAACATGGTAATCAAGCTTATTTTAAAGGGGGAGGGGGGGTCCATTCTCAAGCATTACAACGATAAAAAAACCATAAACCTCCTTCAACCAGGTATACCTCAGTTCAGATGGACACGGTTTAAATTGAACCCTCTCCCTATTCACGGTTCTCCACAACCTTCATGAGTCTGCTGTCAGCCTCACTTATGGGTAATGTAGTCAGCAAGACCTCAATACACATGGCCATACACACCAAGTGTTTCTCCCCTTTTCCTCCCCTCTCTCACGTTGAGGTTTCCTCCATCCTGACTGAAAAAAAGCACCTGTTGTTTTTGTATTTCTTATGATAATGGGAAAAAGACAAATGACCCCCATCCCATGATAAAGTTGTCGTTTAAAGTGATTTATTTTTTTTGGTTTGCCGTGTCAACTGTCTACGGAGTAATAATATCTGTCCTAGTTTTGGCAGTGAGATCTGGATATACGTGTTTATATCTCTGGATTAGCGCTGGGTACCAACTACTGATACCTTTGATATTAAGTAACAGCTCAAATCAGACGGTAGAACACACTTGTCATTTTCATCTTTATGTGCTGATTCTATCTTTAGAAAGTGCAGATTAACATAAAATAGATCATCCGACTCATCTATTTTAGGAGAGGTATCACATTTTCAAGTGAAGGGGTACCCAGCCCTCATTTGGAATAATCCAACCTGTATTTAGCTGAGCCGGTTTGCTTTTGATTTGATTGCACACATCTTTAATTAGTTTTGGATTACTATCAAGAGTTTTCTGCTCTCCTTTGATACACCTCAGGAATCTTTGGTACTCAGCTCCTCCTCACCTCACCCCCATCGCTGATTCTTCCGCTTCCTCTCACTTGGCACTTGTAATGCTTTCACGCCACAAAAATGTATCTTTATTACCAGTCCAAATTCAATTGAAACACTAATCCCACATATGAAACTGTAAGCTTTTACTAGTTCTTGCCCGTCCCTGTTTTGATTTAAGTCTGAGAGAAAGTTTGTCAAGTGTTACCCATACACTTATTTGTACTTATCTTCTGTCTCGACAAGCAAGCCAAAAAAGCTATTTTCTCCGTTTCTCTGCTGTCTTTCTCACCAGTTCCCTAAACTAGCTGGCGTGTTTTATGTCAATTTTCAAAGTACGACGTTAACAGATTTCACAAATTAACTATGTGATCATTTGTAGACATGAACTGCCAGTTAGGGGCAGTTTAATTCTCTCCACACAGGGCTTAATTTAACTCATTTCACGGCTAACCGCAGTCAGACGAGGAATCTCTCTTTTCATCCTGGTGCCATTTCTAAGTATCCATATACTCTTGTAGATGTCAGGCAAAACGGATGTATCTGTCACAGTTGTGCAAGCCACAGTGACATTTTTGACTCTTTATTTCTTCTGAGGGACATTGAACACTGGTGACCTGCAGTCTCTTCTCAAGCTTTGGGAACGGTTTCACAGGACACAGTTTAAAATCAAGTGTTTGGAAACACTAAAAAAACACAAGGAAACTACCAGTACTGTTTCACATTCAGGACCGATTCATAATTATGCTTTCTTTATCTTCAAGCAAACGCTGTACTGTAGTGTTTGAGCAAATAAGAGCTTAGCAAACAAGTTCAGAAATGGATGATCATCAGATAAAAGACTATTGCAACAACACAGCAAACCTGAAGGAAGTTAAAGCCATCTTGTTATTTGCCCACTGTAGCACGATAACGATATTTGCATCAATGTTGCTTCCTTTTGTTGCCGCTTTAATGAACTGCTAAAGAAAAAAGTATTTGTTTGAGGTCCTCATGAAGCTTAAAGTCAGGAAGGATCAGCTCAGCAGACCCTCTGCTCTACCTCACCTGATTTAGGGAAGGAAGTGTGGCAAATAAACCAATCATAACCACGTTCCTCGGATAGGAGTCATTTAAAAAGCCTGTTTGGGGGCTTATTTCTGAATGTTAACTCCCCTTTCTTTCCATATGAGATGAATTACGGAAGCTAAATAAGGCAAATGCATTGTAAAACCTTTCCTTCTTATTAAAACATGCAAGCTAGCACAAACACAGAGGAAAAATCACCAGTATTACCCTTTTTTCCCCCAAGTTTGTGTCCAAAAGTATAAAAAGTACTCACCAGTATTACAGCAGCCACATGGATTTAAAAAAATAGCCTCCGAATGTTAGTCTGCCAAAGTGGCTGGTAGAGTTTAAAAACCTCCAGCCACAGCAAAAGAAAACGTTTGAGTAGTTGGTTGGCAGTGCTGTAGGTAGACGGTGGAACATCTCCAGTGTTAAGACGAAGCTTGAGTTTAAACTGCGCTTGAGAAACCGACCCAAACCAACAAACACCATTCAGGGATTCAGTACTATGCTTTTCTAAGTTCTAGCAAGTTATATGCAACCAGTGCCGCAAATTACCCTACAGTGCTGTAGGATCCTCTGCAGGAGTGACTTTCAATACACACACACAATTAACTTGTAGCATTTTTTTTTTTTTTTAAATCCTTGCATATTGATATGTTGTATTTATTTTTTAATTTACAGGCCTGAGGTTTTGGGGATCGGAGTTTAGGTGCGACAAGAGTTGGCACCATTTCTGGTTGATGTTTGTGGGGGTGGTTGTGGGTGGGTGTTCAGTTGTAATTCAGGAAATTCTTTCATTAAGTCAAAAAGAAAAGATATTAACTGTAAAACGTTCTTCTTTCTATGGACAAACGACCGAGAATGAATGTTCTTCAGAATCCTGGATTCCAGTATTGTGTGTACTGTGGTGGATCGAGCCCGGCCCGGTGTAACTTTAGAGGGCTTCGGCTCGTGTGATTGTGCCCTGTCGCCGTAGAAACTAGTAAAACCAACACATTAGGAGATCCATTCATACACTTAATTGGTTTTACAATTACCTGCTGAAGATCTGATTGAGTACCTGCTCTAATCAGAAAGAAAAGGAACAGTTACGGCAAATGATGTGCTTTCTTTAGGTTGAAAATGAAATATTTAACTACATAATCATAAGGCGGATGTGCAAACAAGTGTTCTCCACACACCAATTGGTATTTATTAAGACAGAAAGTGGGCATCATGCATACATGAGATGGCTGTGTTATAAAACAAGTATGAGATTGCATTCTAATAAGTTGAAAGATAGGTAACGTTGCTTTTAGGTTGTTTGCTAAATTCACTGATTGTGTTATTAGTCCACACAGCATTCTGTAACATTTTATTTTAACGCACATTTATAAAATTATTTAAGAATGATGATTTTTTTTTTAGATGATTAAGGCAATCAGAGTCTTTTCTGTCGATGTTGTCATTTAAAGGTGTATGAATGGGTTTCCTTAGCATGCAGGGTTTACGTTTTTCTATCTCGACTTTTTCTAGCCCAGCACCTCACATTGCTGTGCATATAAACTACCAGTGAAACATTTGTGTCTTGTTGCCCCCACTATTTTAAGCAGTCTAGGATCTGTACAGACATGAGAACATAAATACCTGTATCAACTATATACTCTGAGCTGAATCTTTGTGTGTGTTGAACTTCAGTGTTTCCTCTACATTCATTCATATTTTTCTTGTGTTTTGACTCGCCAGCAGGGCATGGCCTGGCTGTATTAAAAGTTGTCCTTTATGCGAAAAAAACAACTTTAAGTTGAGCTTTGTTTAAGCTAAAAGCTAGAGGCTCATTGGAGTACTTTGTAAGGCATCCAAGAAAGCACTTAAGGGTTCCTTGGCAGAAAAAACAAACAGCTAATGACGATCATTGAGCCCACGGCGTTCCTCAAGGAGCCTACTCGGGTCCCCTGTCGGTTGCATTTTGAAGAATCCCCAAAGCTCTTAAAAATCTGTTGCAATACTCCATGTGTGATAATGCAATCACCCACTACGGGTATTTCATTCCAGCATCTCAATCTCCTCCTTTTCCCACTGTTGATAAGAATTATAGAGGAAACATTGAACTCCAATGACCTCGCCGCTATGACTGTCTTGGCCGTAAGATGAGTCTGGTTGCCAGGCCGGAAATTTCTACAAAAAAATTCCCCCTCGAAAACAAATGTTTTTGACCCCACGTTTCTCAAGGCCCTCGAGTTGCAGTGCTGGTCCAGGATCTGCCAACACAGGCTTTAATGATATTGATGCTCATCGGGTTTCTGGTTTTAGAATACTCATAAATATAATTCTTTAGGGACCCAAAAACGAAAGTGGGTTGTGAAAAAGAAATCGGAAAATGTCTCGTTTCTTACTCCGGATTCATGTGACATTACATTGTATGTTACTTACAAAAGGATGTGAACATGACATTAACACCTGGAAGGAGTTAGTACAACACAAATATACCACATGGAGAAAGGACATTTTTGTTCTCCATAGGTTGTGGTCCTGACCTCATAGCTCCCAGTGAAGGGTCATGGGAGGATCAGAGAAAAGACAATTCCCTTCGCAAAGTATTAAAGCAGAATAAACCTTAAGAAACCCTGAATGCAATATCACAGAGGAGATTTAATCGATCCCTGATCAGCGTTGCAACTCTCGGCTAATGGTTTTTATCAGCTGAAGTGATCCACGTGATGTAAATAAATGTGTTTTTAGATTGTGACTATGATGTTTTTCTTTTGTCTTACTAACAGATTGAGTATTCAAGCCGGCTACATAACAAAAATGCATTGTAATACACTAATTTGAACTATGGTGCACTAGAACAAAGTAATCATGTGTTCAGAGAGTTTGTTTGTTCTTCAAATAGGTGTCCTTGAACGAGACGATCAAAAGGTCTCCTTCAGTTAATAGATAATGGAATTATTATAACTGACACTCTGTCAATCAAATTAATTGAAGGAAGTAATTATACTTTATTAAAAATGCAAGATGTTATTTATTGTTGTATCTTCTTTGCAGGATTTAAGGCCCTCAACAAAGTCCTAAACATGTTATGGTACCTCGGTGTTATAAATAGACCCGTTAACGGCATATATGTACAGTATGTGCAGCGTGTTTTGCTCTGGTATATAAAAAGAAAATCACTGCATTATCCAACATGATTGAACCAATACATGAATATTAAATGTTTCTCCTTAGAAGCACATAGTGATAAGATTCAGGCCAGATTACTGCGTTCTTCCATCTAATGAGGGTCTTTGTCCTTCCTGCTGTTGCTGCAGAAATCCACCACTAGATGGCAACATTGAGCTGATGAAGTGCTGACTCCAGCATGAACTTCCTCCTTTTAAAGTGGAATTCAAGCTGAAATATGGTCAAATAAGTCTTGTTTTATTTATCATTTTATTGAGACATGTATTTATTTAAAATAATATCAATTTCAGAATCATTTTATGTGTTGCTTTTTGGGTGAATTACAGTAAATCCTAACATACAATTATTTTTAACATTTAGAAAACTATACAGTTTTATGTGGTCCTTAGTCTGAGATGCAGTGCTTCCATTTGACAAGAGATCTTCCTCGGGTTTATTTCACACTTTCTCAAACAGTTCTGGCTACATTAAGTCCAAATGGATTTAGAAATCCTAGCCGTACGCCGACATGGCCCACTGCTTGACGTCAGTGGGGCATTGTGGGTATTTCTGCAGGGCCTCCATGACCTGAGTGTTGTCCAGCATGAGTCTCATCAGCTGGTACTCCCTCTGAGTTTTGACTGAGGAGTTGTCCACCGGCCGGATCATCTCCAGCTGCTGCAGGTGCTCGAAGGCCTGAAGACGGGCGGGGGAGTGTCGGTGAATAAAAGTAGTTTTTATATACAAAGATTTTAATATTGTCTATTTCTCTAGGACTTAAAATGTTTTTATTCTCACCTTCATGATGACAGGCTGCTCAAAGTTGTACATGGAGTTGGACTTTCTCTGCAGGAACTTCTTAAACTCTAAAAAAAACAAAGGAGAGTTTATCAATCAATGTTCAGCTCCATCCAGTGTTTTTCTTATTACAAAAACTAGAGTCTTTACTTACCGTTGTGGACCATTTGCAGATTGAACGGCTCTCCTTCGTAGACGTCGTTGAGGTGTTTCATGGCGATGATCAGACACAACTCCAAAATAGACAGACCTAAAGACAAGAGAAAATACAACAAGTGTGAACTAATTGAAAAGTTTAAGTGTCAAAGAACTAATTTTTGTGATTCATTTTTTTTTTACCGTGGAGCATATTGGCCTGGGCGTCGATTAAACACATCTTGCTGGCCTCCAGGAGGTCTGCAGGTTTGATGGCAGGTTTGGCTACAGACACACGACTCAGGCACAACATCTGCACATAAAACAGGTTTTTCCTTTAACCAACTGTAGTTTGTAACAATTCAAATCAAGGGTTCACAAATTGCACATGTCTAAAAGAACATTATATACTTCTTTCCTGGATTTATAAAATGTTAAGGGTAACTATTAGGGATTTAACACCATAAATGTTAGAAGTAGAGTAAGGTACTTTGCAGAATGGGAATCTAAAATGTTGTGTGTTTTACCAGCAACATGTGGTTTGAACGGAAGTTCTTGCTGGAGTTGTAGTGCCTCTGTAAAGCATCCTCCACTGATTTGTCTTCACACAGAGTCTGAATAAAGAGAACAATCTGTTTAGCGTGAGCCACACATTTTGAATTCAACATGTTTGTTCCCTTGCTCCACCTTGACGCTGGCGTTCCAGTCCTGAGCGAACGTCTTGTCGGGGAAGTCGTCCTGCAGGCTGAGTTGTGTTTGCACCCGCTCTAGGTATTGACTAAAGGTGGGGTTGCTCAGCAGGTGGATCTGACGGTGAGAAAACCGCGACTTCACCCGCTTCTCCAGCAGCTCCAGAACATCCTGGAATGGAAATGATGCACCGCGACAAAAAGATTTCAAATCAAACCGCCAGTATGATTTCTGTACGGTGAGGAGGGTGAAGTGAGGCTCACCAGTCTGCAGGTGACACCCACCACAGCGACGGGGGCCTGGGCCGACTGAGAGACGTCGAACAGGTTGTAGAGCAGCGTCTGGTTCTTGTGGTGGGCGAACAAATCAAACTCATCCAGGACGAACAACACTGGGCGGCTGCTGCTGCGATCACCTGGAGGAAAGAAGCAGGTGGCCTTAAATGTAGGCAGTTTAATCCAAAAGTGCGTTATCAGTGTTGCATTTTCTTACCTTTCTTCAATGCCTCCAGCAAGAAAGACAGATTCTCAGCGAAACTTCCCTGGAATTAAGAAGCAGGTATTTAGAGCAGCTTTTTTAGCATTATTAATGGGAAAATATGGATACAACTCAATCCAGATACTTACAAACACTTTGTCCCCGACAACGTTTTCAAGGTGGAGCTGCCGCGTCATTTCCTGAAGTGCTATTTTGTCATCAGTCTGCAGGAGACCTTCAGCAAACAGGCGAGACATGTATCTGGTGATGTGTACTCGGAGACATTTTTAGCAAGTCATAATGGTTTATTATCTGGTTGATGCATTAACCCTGGTCAAATGGACATAGCAAAGGCTAATCCAGCAATAACAAATGTTGTACATATTTACATTATCTCATAAATAACATCGTGTTTGGTGAGGTATCAGAGTCTGTACCATTGAGATGAACCTGCAGCAGATTTCTTTCTACTTCTTTTTCCTCTAGCAGGTCTCTCAGCACACACTTCAGCAGCTGTAGACACAAAAACCCTCCCAGGATTTAAACACACCTCCAACACAATCCATCTTCTTCTCTGCCATTTTTCTTTCTACCCATAAGCCCATTTCAGGCTTCTGGCTGCAGACGCTCACCATTGTTTTTCCTGATCCTCTGGGGCCGACAATCAGCACCGAGTTACTCTCCCCGTGGACGGCCGTGCGCTTCAGCAGCTCCAGGAGGTGTCTGAAAATACAGTGTTTTAACTACAATACCCACAATGCTTCTTTGGTAGTAGAACGAAATAATTATATAGTAAAAGACAACATGTGTCATCTCTCTTTTCCTTTCTACCTGCAGAAACAGCCTCATCTAATGAGTATAAAGGAATTAATGTACTCGTGTTGTGTTCAAGTCAGCTGGGAAATGGAGCTTTTCACACTTTTCACACTTTTGAACTGGAACAGCACCGTTAGCCAGGTAAAGACTCAACTGGGTCACAGAGAATCATCTCTTTTTCACAGATGACAAACCTACTACAGTTTTACTTTTTAGTTTAACAATTTAAATGCAAATTACAGGTAGATTTTTCTACAATAGCAACACACTTTAGAAATTATAAAAAGTGTTAGACTATTATTGAAGTAAACCTACTTGTGTTGAGCCTCCACCCCCTCCGGTGTGTCAGGAAGCTGCTGATGGCAAAGCCGCTTCCTTAAAATGTCCTGAACCTGCAGATAAATGTAGATAAATATAGACGTCATTACAGGGACACACCACCATAAACAAGTTAGAAGATGATTGGCCGATACAAACCTCTGAAATGCATTTTCCTACTGGCAAAGGAGCATCTTTCGCCTTCCTCTTGCTCATGGTGCTGAGGTTATAAGCTGCAAAATGTGGAGATCATTGGTTAAGATGCATGACATTTGTGGGGGAAATGCGCTTCAGGGACTTCCAACGGTCCTAAATAAGACATCCCAAAAAATGCAATCTAGTTTAGTGTGGTTTTATTGCATTAAGCAGCACCATAATATGAGAGTAATTATATCAGAATTGCTCCCTCTGCTGTTGTCTTTCTGCACAATGACCTATTTCCTCACTGTATTTTATCTCATGTAAATTGAAATCTTATATTGTAGGAATATGTCCACTAAATGCACTTACATTGCAAGATGACACTTGCTACGCCAAACTCCAATCTATTAATCGTGAATACCTTACCTTCAAAACCTCTCTTAAAGAGCACCTTCGGGGGAGAGCATTGCAAAACTGGCCCCGGTAATGGTACAAATCTCAACCTGTCGTTCAATGGACAGCTTCCCCCCCCCCATCTATGTATATACTCGCATTTTAGACTCTGTTACTAACTGTATATCTGTAGACTTGGTATGTCTTAAATGTCCGGTTAGGATGTATTAGAACGAAATCTAAAATGAAAATTGTAAATAAGCAATCTGTATGTAAAAAACCACCTGTATGTACATTTTAAATAAGCCATCTGTATGTCAAATATGTCTTATATGTCTTAAATGATATGATGAATTGGAAATGGGGGACCCTGATGTAAACAAGACGAAAGTCTTTCTCTGGTCTGCATCCCCTTAACAATTGTATGTTTTGAGCTGTACTGTACTGTACCCAATATACAAGCTGTTAATACACTTTTCAATCAATCAATCAATCAATACTATGATCTCACTGTGTGTGACACCAATACTAGTTCTACTTAAGAAATGTGTATACAATATAGCCTGAATCTTTACTATATAAACTAATACATTAATATAAGTGGATGATTTGTATGCCGAATAACAAAGTGACTCGTAGCTATTTGATAATAATCGTAATTTGCATTCAAGATCTGTTAATATTTGCAATACACAAGGAGAAACTAATGTGTCCTAATTTACGAATGGAGTTTGGTACTACTTTCTCTCCACGCTGTCACCGGGCTCTTTAGCAGCAGCACGCTCTGTCTTAAATAGTAACACTACTTAGTTAAACACTTAAGTTAGTCTAGCAATGTAAGCATGTCAAAAAATAAAGAGACATACCTTGAAAAACAGTAATTCACTTGCAAAGGCGTTCTCAATCTTCGCGGGAAGAGTGCTTTGCCAGCAGTGACGACTTCCGGCTTTGACTGATTCTCCGGCTCTGATTGGCTGAGGCTCGGAATACCTTCTACTTGCACTGTCACCTAAATGTAAATAGCCATTTTTGTCACAGTTTGTGTGTAATTAAGTGTTATTGTTAATATTTCTGTTTTTATTTTATTTGTAACCATTTAAAATCCTTTGCCAGAGCTTTTGACCACAAATGATTGTCTTCATTGGCATTTGGTGTTAGACATTTCAGCATAAAGTAATAACATGTAATTTGTCTTAAAGCACATTCAAAATCATCATAACTTAAAGTATTGCAACAAACATGTTTCAAAATGTAAGCCTATATATTCAATAACACCCAGGTGTATAGGTTCAAATGTATCCTCTTTACTTTCTTAACCCTTAGATGTCCGAGTGACTGGACCCTACACTCTTCCATAAGTGGGTCAAAAAGGACCCGTATTAGAATAATATGTGTTTTTATGCCATTTTTGTCATTTTGGTTAAGTGAATAACTTGTATAATATTTAGTATTATATTAATTTACATTTTGAAAAAAAATATTATGTATTATTATTATTATGTATTATTATTATTATTATTATTATTATACTGACAGGTATCAGATCTTGCTGTGTAAAATAATCTTCCTGAGAGGTGTCACTTGTGATGTTGTCTGTGTGGTCTACAGTGAATGTAGTCCTGACAGCCACAGGTGTAATCAAAGGTTCCCATAAGATCCCATAGAAAATGCATGCGGGTCATTTTTGACCCATGGAAGTTTGGGGTAGTAATACAACAACTACAATTTCTTAAAATGTAAATTTTATATTTGAATGGCATGATATCCGAAACATATTTTTTGAGGAATAGCTGGAATATGAAATGATAAAAAAATGGAATTACAAAGATACTCTAAGAAAACCACCTCACGGGTCAGAAAATACCCACTTATGCATCTTTAAGACAAACTAAATCCAGACAAACCCCATATAATTTAATTTTAGAAAACATTGGTTTGTTCTAAAAAAAAAAATTATGAATATGTGATATATAGCATTTAATAAGATGATGACTGGATGCTCAGGCATGGGTATATGTAATTAAAAAATGAATTATTTAAAATCTGCAAAGCCATAATTGCCACCACTATTCTGATTTTGATACAATCATGAGGGATTTTTGAATGGCTGCATTACATCTTTTACTCACTCACAATAATGACGAAGCTCTGGAGTATACTTAAAGGCTTCCTGGCTTTTGGTTGACTGATGAAAAAAGCACAATAAACCACCAGACATCTCACAAATCGCCTCCCAGTCTCCGCTCACATTTAGCCTGTCAAATTATGCTAAAATGCGGCTCTCCACTCAAACATTCTGCTCTGTGTTTGCCCTTAAAAATACATGAAGCGGTCCTTTACAGCAGCCAAACACTGAATTAATTTACCGTCTCCTCAGGTCTGACCTTCAGACAAAATTCAAGCATTTTCTCCCTGAAATGCATCTCCTTTTTTTTTTTACTTCAGCTCACTGAACGCCCTCTATTTCTGAGCGCTTGTATTTTTTGCATCTGTTTATGCTTCAATACCACTATGTTGCATATTTTAAGATCTGGTAAAAGTATATTATATTGTATATTGTATAGGTTTTGTATTATTATGTTTATTTTTTTTGTTTTCCTCATTTTAGAGTCAATTAATTAAGGTTGATGAATTGCTAGAGGTGATACAGTCAAGTTTAATTGATGCCTGGAAATTATTATAATGAATTATTAACATAACAGCAATATGCAGCTAATAGTATTAACTTGCTCACACAATATTAATATGACATAATAACTGCTGTTTATGGAGATATTGTCAGTGATTCTTTATCACTGACAATGCTTATAACTTTAATTATTACAGTGTTAGAATCAGTTTAAAGGTCCTTTATTTGTATTTGATTTAATTCTGCACCATGTTAGACATCGACCACTAAAATTGTTTGTACGTTGTGGATACCTCAATATAAAAAGGGTGCAACCGATTCATCTCTGGGGTCATTATTTGATTTTCTGTCTGAGGACTGAAATAAAACAAGTCAAATAACACAGATATTGTTCTTTACTTTGCCAATGATAGCTGAAGCTCCCTCAGGAAGGCCCCCAAACCCCTCCAGAGAGAGCCATTACTGAAAACGACAGCACTGTGTGAGTCACCCCACCCACGCATCCAGTTGTTTCAAGATTATGTCATAATTGTGTTCCCAACTTTTGCTATGCAGAGCTCATGTATCTGAGCTCTGGGGATAACGTGCATCACCTCTCCCATCTGCTGGCTGCTCCTGCAACGCATGCGCAGTGCGGCTCTCCATCATTTCCAATATCCCAGTGTAAGAGAACCAGCAGAGGCAGAGAACTAATGGGTAGGCTTCTTATTCTTATTTTTAAAAGGTCAGAAACACACTGCTGCTCGCCCATTTCTCTGTATCAGTACCGGTGTGCATTCGCCGGCATGCCCGGGTTAGAACGGACTGTTTATGGTTTGATTTGACGCAGACAGAAACGTTAGTGCCTGAAAAGCGTCTCTGTCTTCTTCTTCGCTCTCTCTGCAAACGCAACGGGTTTGCACCTAGCATGCTAAGCTAACCCGTGCTAACTCGGCCTGGCCCTGGCCTTGCCTGGCCCCTTGGCTCGACACCTAACGCGGGCCTAGTTTCTGTTTTACTTCGACAATATAAAGTCGGAATGTGTGTGTCGGGTCCTCAGCTTGGACAAACCCGGTTACGGGTCGCCAATTAAATGCTAAAGCGTTATTAGCGTAGCCGAGCTCGCCCTCTAATTCATTTTCGTTACAACAAGCTAGCTGGCTAGCTAACTAGCGATAGCTAGACAGCTGACGCTTGGCATGCTAACCCCCAGCTAGTTCAGATGCTGTTTCCAATGCATCAAAAAGCACAGTCAGACAAGACTGATTTCGCTTGTTGACACGGTCACTTTTCAACACGGAGGCCCACTGACGATGGTTTTACAGGTATATATATAGCTTTGTGATAGAGTAGACAACATCAAACGCCAAACGGTTGTCGTTAAAGCCTTAATAAAACAACACTTGGCACAGTTGATAGGCAATCTGGCTAATGTTCACCAAGCTAATTGGCTATTAGCTAACGTGTAGGTACCTAGGGTTGCTTTGGTAGTGAACACAAGCGGTTGTCATGTTCTCCAGTTTTAGGGATAAGCTCTTGTCATGTAAGGTTAGCTAACTTGTTAAGCTGTCACTTTTGAATGATGCTGCAGGACAATATGGCTAATTTACCCCTACAGCTAGCATGAGCCAACTCCATGGGCTTACAGCAAGATTTAAATGCTGGGTTGAGAATTAATGGATTTAATCTTGTCTGAAAGAGCAGTGGTAGCTGTCTTTGGTTCAGTGAGAGGAGATCAGAGGGCAGAATATACTGCTGATCTATTTTGGTGTTGCACAGTTTGTCCATTCCTATTTATCAAGTCCAGGATTATACTCCACACACAGTACATGCTTTGTGCAGGTTACTTCCACTGCTACCTATTCCCCAATCTTGCTATATCTGACAACATATTACTCTGTTCTCATGGCACTGTGCGTTTAGATCACGAGGGGGCAGATATTATGCACCAAAATGCCCTAGGATTTGTGGGCAGGGACATATGTCACCATAAACGTGCCCCAGACTGCCTAGTAAACCTTACATTGAGCATATTACAAGTTAAACGTCATAAACATGTGTTCAAGGTGACATATAGCACTGCAAACCTCTTAATGTACCTGCGTGGTAACACAAATGGAATCATAAATGGTCTGAGATCAATTCTTATTATTGCTGTATATAAACATACGCTTTATCTGCATATAACATGCATGGTGATTAGTGTGTGACAAACCTTAAATCACATGAAGTCAGGACTGCTGTGAGGCACATTCAGTGTCAACATATTGATATGTCTTAAGGTTGTACTAGACTGAGCTTGTGTTCCTTAAAAGGCTATCCTCTCACTGTTATCATTTCTTACTAGCTTTATTTAGGAGTCATATCATATTTAATGTTTATGTTTGGAACAGAGAAGTGTGTTACTACATTCCAAATGCTGGAACACTTTAGTCATGGCCTTAGAGATCTTGTGTTGCTCTGTCTCGCACGTTTTTGTGTACAGTTGAGCAGATATGTTTGTGTTATGGTGAGAATGATACAAGTCATTCTTTAATTCCAGGACTAAAGCCCTCTTTGATCAGTATAGTAAAGAGGAAGCATTGATTTGACTGTAAAATAACAAATATCACGATAAAAGCCACTGTAATGAAAACTTCCTTTTGACCACGTAATGAGATGCACAAAAGCTACTTTGTCTGATCATATTCTTACAAATGTGGACATTGAGAGAGGACATTTTCATTTACTTAAGTTGCCGTGCTTAATGGACTGCAAATCCAGTTACTCAAGAACCTTTGGCTGCGGTTCCACTTGTCATTTTGATAGGATTTGTATCTAAACATTTTCTTCTTTCTGAGACTGCATTGCTGTAAGTCTCCATTGGCTATATTTATTTCTTCTTCTGCATTAACTCCTATTCCATACTTTCTGCCAAATACCATACATCATCGTGGGTCATCAGTTCATTCAACTTCATCCTGCTGTCCACATGCTAAAGATTCACCAGTTCACTGATAACCAATGTAGTTTGCATATTGCCGAGTCCAATTGTATTGATGTAAAGCTTAAAGAGAAAACATTGATTTCATTTAAAGAAGAATGTTTGGTGATTTATAGTTAAGCGTCAGAGTGCAACGCTAGACAGATCTATCGTACGTGATCAAGCTCCAGAAGCTGTCATTGAAATAGTGTTAGCTGGTCCAACTTCATTGCTGCAAAGCCAGCCAGTCACTTAACAGAACATTTTGAGGAAAATCCACCGTTAGATGTTTCTAGTGCAGTAATAATTGAATTCTCACTGCATTTCTGGCTTTTAATGTTCCCACAATGTCCCCAGTTTGACCACCTCTGCT